GAGAAATGAGGCACCACAAGAGCGGCCATGGATGGGTGTCCAGATATTTCTCCCGACGTATCAGCACGACGAAAGAGTTATCTTGGGATGGATCATGGATCATGTCGATGACGTGGCATGACACGTCGGATAATACTTCTGGGCCAATTTGTCGGCGTCTTAATTAGAAGTAGCCTCAACTTTGTTGGGCCGAATCCAAACAACTTCTGCTTAAAAAAGAAATTTTCTAATAATAATAAGAATAATAGCAATCCAACCTATAAACTAATTTACCAAATAAATTCACTAAGATATACCTTAACCTATAATTTCACAAATTTAAATTTTTTATCACCTTAATTTAACAATAGTTTAATTTAAATTTATTATTTGCGAGTTCAACTCTCATGAATATGGATATAAATTAAATCGCAGACCAAAATTTTTTATTTAAAAAACTTAATGATGTAGTGAATTTAAAAATTTACGTGGATTTGTGAATTTTAGTGGTGCAAAACCAGATTTTAGGGATTTAAAGAGATGTGCGACAAGACAAGACACCAAAGCTTCTCCAGAATCTCCTGAACAATCACACTGTCCTTTTCCGACAATCCGTACACCAGACAAAACCTTGGTCCGGACTCCGGCCTCAATCCAAGAAAATATCTTCTCCTCGGTCAAGAAACTTCTCCAGAATCTCCTGAAAAATCTGAAGAACGGATCTGTTGGGAGATCCATTCAAAACTCTCCCAGATCTCCACATGGCCAGCGTAAGATGGAGGAGAATGGAGATGGGTATGCAAAGGCATGTGACGTGTCCATCAAGTAACCACCGGGAGGCCAAAGTTCTGGAACGTTCTGATCCGACCATCCCAGCCACCGGTGATGATGACCATTCCCCATGCGAGAGAGCTCGTCGTGATCTTCTGGTACGACGCCTTGAGGAACTTGTATTCAGACACGTGCATCTTTGACGAAGACAAAGGGCTCGCCGGAAGGTTTTCCTCCGGCCAAGTCGCGGCGGCGCATACCGTCCCGGCCGTCGTGGCGGCAGCTGCGAATCCGTCACTTAGAGACAAGCAGGAAGGCGAAGAGAACGGGAGAGTTCGACGTGGAACGTTGTCTTCATCCGAGCAGCCGGACCAGGTTGTCGCGACCGATGCATTGGTGGAGAAACGTTCGAAAGATTTGATCTTTTTCATCTGGGAAGAATCTGGTTCCTCTTCCTCGTGATCGTCACTGTTCCATATGTACACGTTGGAATCTTCACAAGCTGATACAATATGCTTTCCATCAGAAGTGAGAGACACAGAAGTGAGGCTTCTTGAATTGCAGAGACCTGTGGATCAAACAGAAAGAGAATCTTATGAAGAAACCCTAGATTCTAACATGCCGAAACTAGAAATCAGAAGAATGTATGGTACAAAAGAAAGCAACATACTTTTATATTTTCGGACTACGCTATTCCCGTGAAGAGTTCGGACTTGAGAATCAGCAGAAACAACCAGAACTTTGCTCGGGTCTCGCGGCAAAAACTGGAAACAACAAGCAGAACTCCTCATCAGTATCTATCTCGGATTCTTCTCAGATGCTAAACTGTGTCCAGAGGAACAGAACTATATACCTTAAACCCGGTTATCCTTTTGTTTGATGACTTCTTCTTGTTAAGCAAATGTATCTGACTAGCCAGTTCTAAGTACTCTCCAGACATGTCAAAGAATCGACAATCTCCGCTCAAAAAGCCGATAATTCCGCCCCATCCGTCTGGACTGTAACACACTGCAGATATAATGTCTCCGGTATCGGCCCAATCAACAACTTTGCAACCCGGAATCTCCCAGATTCGAACTTTTCCATCGGTTGAACCGCTAACAAAGTATTTCTCATTAGCCGGGTTGAACTGCACAGAGGTTACTGCAAAAAACAAAGATGCATATAGCAAGATAATATGAAATCGGTAGACGTTGAAGCAATCAAGAGAAACGGTAGTAACCGGAAAAAAAAAAAGAAAGAAAGAAAGCATACCATAGCTTTTGTGACGGAAAACTCCAAGGCAATTGTTGCTACCGTTTCTCCACAGCCTGACGGTATTATCAATAGATGCCGAGAGAAGGTACTACACCAGAAACACACAATAAACACGTTGAGTTTACTTCTCTCAAAGCATAAGGATAGCATTCCGATTCTAAGGATACTATTGTAGATATATGTAGTAATTTTACTCTCGAATGTCCCGAATTAAATCTATAAATAACATTCCAATCTTATACCTCATGAGTAGCAACTTACATTGTCCTTTGACCAGGAGATGTCGAGAATTTTGCCTTTGTGCCCGCGGAATTCGTGTAACGGTTTCTCTAGTACCCGAAAAACTTTCGAAGGGAAAACAACACAAGCTGAATCAGATGTTTTCCTCAAACTCTTTGGCATCTTCGTCTTCTCCTCATCCCTCGAGACTGGTTTCAGCTGGGAAAGATCATCTACCTCGAAGTACATACAAGACGGGTCAATCTCGGGACAATCACAGTGTTTAGACCGTTTATTCTCCCTGACTTTCCACATCCGTACAACCCCGTCTTCACCGCCACTCGCAAGATACTTCCCGTCATCGCTGAATTTCATCGTAGTGATCGAACCATCATGAGCCTTGATGTCTTGGATCTGATAAAGAGCCGAAAGTTCCTTCACCTTTTTCTTACAATGCTTAACCTTAACTCTGCAAATCCTTCGACCAGAAACTACTTCACCATAACCATAGCCATAGCCATAACCAGAAGCTCTCATTCTACACGATTCAACCTCCTTAACCGAGGTACAGCCCATAGACTGCAGCCTACAAAACCAGCCTTTCTTGAAACTCTTCACAAGCCCTAAATTACTTCTCTGCTTCTCACTTTCCTTCCCCTGATAACATCTGGAATCAGAACATGACGCCATGGAAGAGCTACAAGTCCTAGTTCCATCGAATCTACGTGCATTTTCGTATATTCTCAGAGATAACTCTCCAGAGAGATCCATACCAGAACGGGAAGAAGATGAAAACGAGGATAACTGGCTAGAACTACTGAATTCTCTGTCACCATCACGATGAACTGGAACTATATCGAATTCTGATTCTGCATTACTTACAGAAACCGAATTCCCTGTTCTTACACGACATTCATCGACTCCCATCCACTCCAAGAACTTCCTCCTCCTCTCCATAACGCTTTCAGGGCAACCATTCCATACATCCAAAAGGAAGCTACCCTCGTTGGAGTCATTCGAGCCAGAGGGCGTCGAGTTCGATGCCATTTCTTCATTTGCATCGAAAAATGGCAAATCTTCCTCTCTGCCCAAATGATCCATTACTCTTGATGTTCATTCCATGAAACCCAGAGAGAATCTCCCCAACTGTTAGTGTCCTTCCAACCAGGCAACCTACAGGGAACAATATATAAATCTTAAATCGAAAATAAAAAAGTGAGAAACTTTATAAAATTTACAGGCACGGAGTCCGAGATTAGTGAACAAAACAGGATAAAAGGTCAATTCCAATCCAAATCCATCGAACCTGGCCTCCCTCTCTCAGGCAATTACACAAACAGCTTACATAAAGTAATCAATACGGAAATCTTAGAACAGAAAATCCAGGGGAAAAAAAGTAGAAAAAATAAATAAAACAGTTTTCAAGCACACAGAGAAGCCGTACTACCACCTGGAATTGAAGATCTCATGATCAGATCCTAAGAAAGAAATCCTCACAGAAAATGCATAAGCATAAACATCTCTAAACCAAAAATAAAAAATAAAGATTGAATTTTCTTACATGGGTTTTCTTGCCTCTAAAAGGTTTCTTCGGAACCGGAACAAACACAGCCCGAAGTAGCAGCAGCAGCCATTGTCGTCAAAGCCGCTACGGACTCTACCATGAGAGACCGAACGACACACAGAGAGAGAGAGAGAGAGAGAGAGAGAGAGAGAGAGAGATTAACGAAATAGAATTAAGAGAATAAAAGTAATAAATAAAAGGATCGAGCTTCCCTTGAAATCCGTGAAGAAATATATACAGAGAGAAGAAGAAGATGGCCCGAGAAACGAGATTTTGGGAGAGGGTCGAATATGTACTGTCGTATATTTTCTACGGTTTGGTGCAGTTGCCTTTTTAAACCTCCCTCTCTAATTTTCATGCCTTCGGAGGTTTTAATTTTGGTAATTAATTTATTTACTAATTGCACGATGTGATCTATTTTCTCTGTAATCTTTTCGTTTCCTTTAATTGCAATAGTTTTAATATCTCCCATGCTTCATAATAATCAAATCTATTATTATTATTATTCATGAGTAATCGTTGTAAATTAATTAATTTCATATCTATTGTAAGTAATTTATAACTAAAAATCATCCGAGATTTCAGATTCACATTAATTTATAATCTCACTCCGAACTAACTCGTATTCATGGTTTAATGCATATATCAAAGATTATAATATTGGCTCTAAAAATGGACCGGATTTATATTTGTAAAATGGGCTCTTTCAACTCCGAAATATTATCACAATTTTTACGTGTGAATCGCGAATAATAACCGGAAAAGACGTACGGATTATGCCAAATTATGTAACAGTGGTCGTGGGGTGATCGGCCGGGCAAAATAGATAGACCTAATTGTATCCATCAATCGTTTTTTTTCTCCGTTTATACATTTTTGTATGATTAGGTCTTGTCTTGAAATTTTTATATACGTTTTTTTAATAATTTTGTGGACATGCTTAGGTGGACCCCACATATCTGCATGATCGGATGATTTCGACCGACCATCATACAAATTTCTATTTTTTTATTGATAATCTAGAAGTTCACCGGTTCTCTGATCCGACTACATCTTCCAGATGATCGTGAAAGTCCATGTGAATGTTTCTCCCCACGTTTTGATTGCAAATCTCTATTTTCTCTTCTGTAACATATAATTGTAACATATAATTGTAACATATAATTATAACCAGATGGGGATTTTCGTATGTTTTGATTCTCTAAACCATTGATTCATTTAGTCTTTCTCGCTATTTTGTATATTTGTTCGCTAGCGTTTTAAGCAATATATATGTCGTTTTCCATCATCTAGTGCGGCCATATTACACACACGTACATACACACACACATACATACGTACATACATAGTATAAGCGGCAGAAAGGGCGTAAGAGGAAAAGACAGCAACATGTTTCGTCCGACGGTTTGACTTCGATTTTGCGTTAGATTAAATTTAATACGGAATATTTTTGGCCCCACCTCCAATGAATAGTATTAAGATGCAATATATTTTAAAGCTCGTGATACAGTGAACCAAGCAGAATGGAGAAATACGCGTAGATATCGTATGTACGGCACCTGGTAATATGTGCTTATATATACGTGTATAAGTCGAAGTTGACTTCTGATTTTGAGAGTATCTATCTTGATACTGCTGCCGAAAAATCTCGTCAGTTAACCACATTTTATATATATATAAAAAAAAACTATACTTTTGTGGCATTTACGTTCTATTTCAATGTTATAATACCTGCAATTGTCCAAAACCATGGGCATCTCGTCTAGGTTCGTGTATATATACTTTTATTTGGACTTATTATGTTTTTGTATGTAAATTAAATTATATAATAAATACATTGAAATGTCACTCGTAAAAAAGGAATATTATACACCAAGTAATATCAGAGATCAAACTTAACGGGAAATTACATACACGTGATACATGAACTCTTACATTAATCCCGATGAAAAAAAATACTCTCTCCGTTTTACAATACTTGACATTTTACACAATTTTTTGTGTTATTAGATATTGTTGTCATTTTAGGTTTTTTAGGCAAAATTTTTAAATAATTTCCAATTTTATCCTTAATAAAAAGTAACAAATTATAATAGATTATTAATGATAACATCAATTTTTGTGTTATTAGAGGGTATATATGATTTTTTTGTTTTCTTAAAAAATAAAAAAAAAAGTTAAAATGACAAATATTTTGAATGGATGGAGTACTAGTAGCAAATATATATATATATTGTTTTTAGTATAAATATTTAAAATTTTGTGGGAAATTATACATATACTAACAAAATATGTATCACAGTTTGAGACTTTGAGGTAGGTTTAGATGTAACACAGATGGATGCATTTATATATGATCAAACAATTAATGATACTACATACCAGATGTGATATTTTTAATTATTATACGCGGTGGTATAGATTGATGCAAAAAAATATTATTCAGATAAAAGATATATTAAAAATTGAATATTATATATATATATATGTATTATGATTGGATATAAATGGATTATAAATAATATTATACTTTAAGTCAAATATCTCATAGATTTCAATAGAGATTCCAACATGAATTCTACGTAAATCCGTATATTAATTGAAATTTTTGTGTAAAAGGATGTATAGACTCAAATAAAATTACATATACATTAACGGTAAGTTTTTTTTATTACCGGGTATTTTGCACCGAAATCCAAACTAATTTTGTAACCGCGAGAAAGCCACGTGAATATTTTCTTTCTAAATTGAGGTTAAAATTTTGGGTAGAACATACGTTTTGCACTCCCATTTCACCGGTTGAACTATCCAAATAAAGATCTTTTTAAAGGATGCAATACGAGGACTTTCCATGAGTTCATTCATTCTAATACTACTCTCGTCCAAACATGTTTAATTAAGGAATTTGTAGTGGATCAGGCCCAAGTTCCTTTTGTCTGTGGTCCACCACCAAAACACAACCCAGCCCACAACACTTAGAAAAAACCTCAGTTCGTGTCTTTGTTCGAAGATCGCAATCTACACTACAAAAAAACAGTTATATAGCAACGGAAAAATCCGTCGCAAATACAAAGGAAATCCGTCGCAATTAAGAATTTGCGACGGAATGCGACGGACTTATTTCCGTCGCTATAGCGCTGTCGCAAACGTATAACGGTCTTAATCCGTCGCATTTTTGTGACGGAAGAAATCTGCGTTTTGTGACGGAAAGTGACAGATAATTCCGTCGCAATTTGCGACGGAATTTTTTCCGTCGCATTCCGTCGCAAATGTTTTAAAATTTTTAAAAAAAATATATAAAAAAATTATATACTATATATACACGTACATATATACATTTTCACATATACATACACCTATATACACATACATTCATACACATGCATTCATACACATACAAATATATATACACATACATACATATATATACACATATATTTTCATATACACATACTCATATATACACATACACATTCACACATATACACATATACACATACATAAATACTCATACACATATACATTTCACAAACACATACACATACACATAAACACACACATATACACATATATTCATATACACATACAATCACATATACATACATATTCACATTCACATATATACACATACACATACATAAACACACACACATACATACACATTCACTTACACACATATATAAACACACATATATACATTCACACATATATATACACATTCACACACAAACATACATACATACATACATACATACAATACACACACATTAACAACACATAAACATACATACACACAAAATATACATACACATATATACACACACAAAATATATATATATATATAATCCATATATACTCATATATACATATTCACACTCATATACATATACACATACCTTGATATATCTTGGAGATATCTTGGAGGAAAACAACGTTGGAAAAAAATTTGAGAAGATTAAGATTTTTTTTTGGAAACTTCAAAGTCTGAAGAAAGAAGACGAAGTCGGTGCTTTTATTTCGTGTTGTGACGGAAATTACCGTCGCCATCCGTCGCAAAACGAAATAAAAACGCGAAAATTTGAAAATTTTCATTGAAAATAACGAAATAAATGAAATTAGTATTTGCGACGGAAATTTCCGTCGCAAATCCGTAGCTAATTCTGAAAAATAAATAAATTAAATTAAAAATAATTAAAATTAGCATTTGCTACGGAAATTTCCGTCGGAAATAATGTTTGTTATTGCGACGGCAACGTCTCCGTTGCATTCCGTCGCAAATTTTTGACGGATTTTACGACTCTTTGAGACGTAAAATTTTTTTCCGCATTCCGTCGTTAAACCGTCATATTCCGTCGTAATTTTGTATGCGACGGAATTTTCCGTCGCAAGTTCCGTAGCTATACGAGAATTTTCTTGTTGTGCTAACCCTAGCCTCACGAATGTTCTTTCTTCCCGTTTTGGAGTCTCTGTCTCCCTTCTTCTCTTTCTCTCAGATTTTAATCTCAGACACAGTCCCGCTAACAACGCCGACGGAGATAATCGTAGTTACAGGTTCGACTTCGGTTGTGACCGAATCGAACATCACCAGAAGCGACGAGTCTCGAGTTGATGTTCTACCAAAGACGATGTCTCCGCAGCCACTGATCTGCACAGATTCGATAGAAAACGCAGCAGAGAAGGAATCGCACTAAAAGAGATAAGTAACTAAACCTTAAGTCTTGTTTCTTTATTACTCAGATTCTAGGGTTTGTTCTTGTTACCTATTAAATGTATTTAGGATTTGATTAGAGTTGATTCTAGGTATTTTTGGATGATTTATGTTTAGTCTTGCACACAGAAATGAAACACACGCACACACTCTTGCACAGAGATATACGAGTTCGGATCACTCGATGTGAGTGAACCTACATCTCGGCAGGGCTTTAGCCCTAGATCAATCCGCTAGATTTTGGGTTTCCTTTTACACAGGTTTTCACCCAGGAATACAATCCGATTCCTCAAAACACACACTGCAATAAGCAAACAGAATCAAAGACTAGAACTTAGCTTTCTCTGCTCCAAAGAACTAATGTCTTCTTCTTCTTCTTGCAGGAGTATTCAGCTTCTTGAAAAACCTTTCAGAAGCCCTTGATTTCTGGTGAAAACTGAATTATGTACTTATACTCATCCCTTCAATTATCTGCCTTTTATAGACATAGGTAGATACTCAGATTTCTTGATTCTTGACTTTCTTTGTAAATCTCTCTCACGTGATTCTTTATCCATGTTAGCATAACTCATG